AACTCAGCCTAGCCAGCTGTATCATAAGAGCATCGTCATCATAGAGAAGGGGTAGTAGCAAATGCTACATAATGATATATAAATATATCTAGGTCGATGCTCCACACGAGTGTCACTAGTCCAGCTTGTTTCTACCACATTGAACCGACATTGGGACTACGTCTCCAAATAAGGGTTGGGTTGCCGCTGTCAGTGACCTCATCTATGGGCTTAACCCCATCTCCCTCGATGAATCCAGAACCACACTCCTGGATAATCCCTTAGTCAAAGGGTCATCAAGATTCTTTTCACAGACTTTACAAAGTCTAGAATCATAACTTTGCCTAGCAGGCGTTGTATTTATTTATCAAGTTCTTATTTTGTAATTAGTCCATCATATTGTTTGAAATTGACATTAGGTCATGATCTATGATCATAAAAGATCATAGTCTATGTCTGAACTACAAAGGAGACCTTCCAAATTTAAATTGGTTGCCTACAAATGAGACCTTCCAAATTTAAATTGGTTGTCTACAAAGGAGACCTTCCAAATTTATGTTGCCATTTTCTAGTATCACCTCTTATACAAATAATAATAATAATACTTGTACATACGTGCTTTAAATTTTTCAAGTGCATTCTTGCATAAAACCTTGTAATTAATCATGTAACAAATGCAAGTTATCTAAGAAGACATATGAACATTTATTACAATATTCATCAAAGTGCAATAAAAGTGATGAACTTTACATTTGAATAATATAATTCACCATATAAAATAGAATTTTAAAAGATGCACCTCTTTGATTTGGTTCGCTCATATATTGATCATTTATCATTAGGCAATATATGATGCAAGAAGCGTAATTAAATAAATGCATATGAATTATTCTCATAATTCTGGTCCTCTTATTCCAAACCAAAAACTCCTAAAGTGAAAAGATTAAAGTTTTACCCGGGTAGTTAGCCAGGTAAGGATAGTAATAGAGGTTGATCAAAGATCAATTAAGTACCTCGTTCCTTGCAGAGCGCGTTACGCAACCCTTAAACCTTGCCTTAGACACCAACTAATCCAAGAAAACTTGAATCGGTTCACTCAATGAGTTTTTGTTCCTTAACAGTATATAGAAACTTTAAATTATTTCCTGCAATCATTTAAATTGCCTAGCAATTATACTGCAAACATATGTTGGATAAGGCCGAGGAGGGGTTTACCTATTGATGTTCGAACCTCATGATTTTCATGTCTTGAGAGTAAAAACTCATCTGCTGCAGACAACTGCCACAGAAGTTGCTGAACAAATTTGCATTCACTTTTACCACCTTCTGTACTAAGCTTATTAGATGCATAAATACACTAATGTATGAAATTATTAATAGAAGGCATCATATTATTGATAGCTTAAAGAAATAAAAGTATTAAACCATGAACAAATCCAGATATTTCAAAGCATCTATTTTGTTTTCTTTATTCTTGTCAAAACCATGCATATGAGACTTTCAAACATAAATAAGTATTAAAAGCTCAAATTATTTATTGGTGATCATCAACGTTCAAATACAGAGCATATTCACTAGCACAAGGAAATAAGGGTAGGCTTTAGATGATTCTAACAAATATAAACTAGGCTTTTAGAAACCAATAAAGGTTCTTTGATATTCGTAATTTACAATAATTATTGATTATAAATCAACTATAAGACAAATGTAATTAACTGTTAAATTAAATTAACAAAAATATTTAGCTACAATTTTTTAATTATTAATTTTTTTTTAAAATAACCAAAACTGTTTACATGAACAGTAACTTTTTAAATAAAATGAACAGTGCCGTTTTCAAAATAAATGAACAGTAACATCATTTTTAAAATTAAACAGTAACGTCATTTTTTAAGAATGAACAGTAACAACATTTTTATAAATGAGCATTAACATTCTTAAAAATAAATAAATAGTAACGTTCTTTTTTTAAAAAATGAACAGTAACATTTTTTTTTATTGGGGATTCAAAATCAGAATACAAAACATTTTTTTTTAACAAAAAATTAATTAATAGATAAGCAATTTAGCAGCAATTTCCTTTTTTGTTTTTGTTTTTTTTTTACTTCGGATGAACAGTAACCATCTCGAATGAACAGTAACTTTAAAATAATTTCAGATTTAAATCAAAGCTATAAACTTCTCAATCTTCTAGATTGTTGGAAATTTATCAAATAAATAAAGATTATAGCATGAATTTAAACCCGGAAATTAAATAAATAATACATCAAAGATAGATAATATAAATTAGAGAAACAGGCCTGACGGGAGCAGTCGTGTAAACACTGCCCTAGAAGATTGAGGACCCGCCTATCGCCCTGGCGCAGATGATCCCTTCTCCCCTAGCGGTAAAAACCCCCGGAAACGGCCCGGCCTCTGTACTCGGGCGAGAGTGCAGAGCTTCAGCTCAGATGAAGAAGTTGCCCATAAAGTAAAACTAAAGTATAGATGAAAATGATATGTAGAGGAGAAAAGAAAACAAGATAAGTTTTCCACATTTTTCTTCATGTTTCTTGAGCTCAACATATGTTGTTTATATAGGGGTTGAAAAGAGCCGTTACAAAATCCCTCAATAAATTTCGTAACGTTCGTCATAATGTATAGTCATTATGCCCATTTTAATTACAAATTAAAACACATTAAAACATATTTTAATTGCATATTTTAATTACAAAAATTTATTAGAATTCATTAAGGCAAAATTGCCTTTTCTTTAAAAATATCCAACAGATTTTGTATGTGTACCTGTTGGTGTGTGATATCAAACAGTTAAATGAAATGAGTGATTAACAGATGTCTTCTAACCCTCCGAGTGTCTGGTTTTTGAGTAAGCTGTTCTTCCCTGCACAAGTAGTAAATCGTAAGAAGGCGGGGTTGAGTTCCTCGGTTGTTCGTCCAACGATCAAATTAGTGATTTACTTGAGTGGAGAAGTGAAATAAACTGCTGTAGTTCTTAAGCACGGTGAGTAGTAGTAAATAACTTACCCTTTTATTGAAAATAGTACCCATATTTATAGTGATGGTAGAAAGGTAGAATGATAACTTCGATCGAGTATGAGATAGTAGCCACGTCAGCCTCTGCATTGCAGGTATCGGCTGACGAGTAGAGAAGATGTCACTTTGTTATTTAATGCGAAGTGATAGGGGGTGTGGTGCCGACGTGGTCCGATGTGTCATAAAGACTATTGGGGGCAGAGGAACGATGACTCTCATAATGCATTTAATGATATTTATTGCGAGGTGATTGGTCGCCAGTGTACGGGAAGAGGCTTGAAGCTCGAGGGATTTCAACACCTTTCTACTTGTCCGGTGGTAGAGAAGTACCGCCTTGCGAGTCGCTCTCGCAAGGTGTTGACCGAAAAGTCGGCCGAATGGAGTGATTAAGTAGTCGACTTAGTCAGGGGTCGACACGCAACACCTTTCGAGTCTTCCTCACAAGATGTCGGCTTGTCGAGTCGACTGAATTGGGCCTCTGATTATCTTGAGATGCTTACTTGATTATGCATAATGTGAGACAATTGTCTGCTATTGATTGGAGATTATTTTTCATCACTAAGGGGGGTTATTGGTTAGGACATTTTGGGGGATAATGGGATAATTTTGGGGATTCTATTTCAAAGTGTTATTCATTGGGACAATGGAACAAGGATAATACCTTTTTGTGTTATTAGTTTTTTGGAACACTAGTGAGACAATTACACCACTTAGGATAAAATTACCCCACTCATATATAAAAATTTTGTCCCAATAGTAAAAATTTACTCCATCATTCATATTGGAACAATGTTGTTCTACTTTAAAGTCAATTGGGATAATTTTAAAATATTTTTGTATTACTTAACTAATACATTCTAATTATATTATAAATATATAACATGATATATAAAATATAACATATATTAATATTTTAATAACACAATTTAATAACATATATTAATAATATTATATAATGGTAATTATAGTATAATGTATTTATTTTAAAATTATATAATATTTTAATAACATATATTAATAATATTATATAATAACATATATTAATATTTTAATAACAATATTATATTAAATATATTAATATTATATTATATTAATTATTATATATAGTATAGCATGCTAATATAATATAATATAATAATATAATATAATAATTAATAATAGTAACTTGTAAGTATAGTATAATATATTATATTTTAATATAAAGTAAAATAATATTTATATCATAATAATATACTAAATAATATACTAAACCAATTGGATAAGTTAATTTAGAAGTAATTAATAGATAAAATTATTTTTTAATAAGGTGCCACATCATCAATTATCCCACATGAATTGTCAAATCAAAAGCTCAAATTATCCTATTATCCCACTTTACCCCACTCAAAATATCATAAAGGGATAAAATTATTTCATTAGAACAATTTTCCTACTTGGCCCCAATTTATCCTAACCAATAACCCCCTAAGATGACTATGACAGTACCACACCAGGAATATGTCACCACTAAAAATGGGGGAGACAACGTACACACTAGATCCATTTACTCAAATTTTTATAAAAAAATAAAATAATTTTAGAACATAAATATCTTCAATAATTAGGCGGTTCGGCTCTCAAAATGAAAAAATCCAAAACCGAAACCCATCTTTGGTCCCATCAGCAGTGGCCCCCACCTTAAGGTAGTCAAAGGTAGTCCGTTACTCCAGGTTCCCTCCGCGGGCCCCGGTTTCTATTGCCACGCGGAGCATGCAGTGAGTATGCGGCGGTTGCAGTGGTGGGCCCCACCACTTCAGCACGCCTTCAACCCCTCCCTCACACTTCCCACTAACCCCCCATCGTCTAATTACAGTTTAACTATTTAAGTACATAATTAACCCCACTCAAATGCATTGCATTTCATAATCACCACATCTCAATAGTAATCTCACTCTCTATATATGGCCTTTTATTAAGCATATATCTACAAGATTTTAGTGCATGAGACCCCTCTCTATGATATGTATATATATACCACCCTTAGACGTTCTCTCTCTATAAACCTTTTAGCCATTCTCTCTCTCTCTCTCTCTCTCTCTCTGTGCTTGCTTCTTCTAGGGTTTTTACTTTTTTAAGAAAATGGGTGAGGCTGTGGAGATGATCGACGAATCGATGAATGGCAATTTGAGTAAGGTTGAAGAGGCCATGGAGCCTTGTAGTTGGTATGAGGAGGTGATTGATGATGATCTCAAGTGGTCTTTTGCTTTGAATAGGTACATAATTAAAGTTTTTATCCGAATATTAGATGTTTATATGCATGTTAGTGAAATGATTTTGGGTCTAAATTTTTGTTTATTTTTCCATAGTGTTCTTCATAGAGGGACAAGCAAGTATCAAGACATAGCTCTTTTGGACACCAAGCATTTTGGGAAGGTTTGTGTAATTTAAAATTTTTTTTATAAGCGCAATATTTTGTTTTGAAGTGATTTTGATGATTTTTTGTATGTTGTATAGGCTTTGGTGATTGATGGGAAGATGCAGAGTGCCGAGTCGGATGAGTTCATTTACCATGAATGCTTGATCCACCCTCCCCTCCTTTGCCATCCAAAGCAAGTTTATTTTCATTTGTTTCAATTAATTTCTAATTTCTAAGAATCGATATCTGTAATAAGTTCCTAAAATTTAGGTTATTCTTAGTTAGGTAATGTACTCTGCTACTAAAAGATTAAGTAGAGACTAATTGGTCCATCTCTTCAAGATGGTGTGCATACTGATTTGGCATGTTCAAGTCAGCAATGAAGAGTGTTACATTATATCTGATGGTTTCCATGTGTGCTACACAACCAACAATATGAGAGTTAGACGCGCTAGTTTTCGTTTACTCTAATTAAAGTTACATTTTTCTAGATTATTTGCTAGGCATAAGACAAATTAATTTAGGGATTGGGGCTCATCCCATAATCCAAAATGAGAGGATATTGGATATAGCGAGTGAGAAGCATGTAAATGGGTTGGATATCATCACCAAGAAGCCCACGATGTGGTTTCCACATCATGACTCAAGTGGGATTCATACATGTAAGTGCCTATCTAGATGCATTAATGATGTTCGGTTTGGTGTTACATGAGCTAGGATAATAATAATACTCAAATAAAGATATATAAAAGGGAAAGACAACGACCCCAACTCCTCCTCCACTTAATATATGGTGGAATTATGATAAGGGTTGTAAATATTGGATGTACTCTCTACTGGATTAAGTTAACAAAAGCTATTTTAAAGGTTTTATGGAATTCCCAAAATAATTGTGAGTTTAGCGAGAATTTCAAATTTTTTTGGAGGTTAAGTGTCAACCCCCTGACTTTATTGCAGGTTCAGTGAATTTTAACCAATTTTTTAATGAGTTTGTTCTAATTATGCCAAAGATTAATTGTTTCTCTTTTATATATACCTTATAATTAATTAGTTGATATTTTTAATGTTATTTTTTCATTCAATATTGCAGTCCGAAGACAGTGTTCATTATGGGAGGCGGTGAAGGTTCTGCTGCCAGAGAAATACTCAAGCACAACACCATTGAGCGCATCATCATGTGCGACATTGATGAGGTCAGTACTCAATAATGAACAAAAATTAAAAATTGAAATAAGGGGATTCAATTAATTTGTAGACTTAATTATTTGATAAAAGTGTCATTATGAATTAGAACTTTCACTGATATGAGTATGGCTACTCCTTTTTAAGTATTTTTTTTACTAATCTGATGTTTTAAAGAAACGACTTAGTTAATTGTACTATAACCACATGATATTGAGCAAAAAACAATCAACACTCTCATGCCACTGGTGTTTTGAAATACAAATCTTCTCAAGGGTGTTTCGAATTATACAAGAAACAGTTGAAATCTTCAAATTGTTCCTCCGTACTCCCTACATGTGAAAACGTTTTGATAAAATTTGTACTCTGCCTTTTTGTAGGAAGTGGTGGACTTTTGCAGGAAGCACCTTACAGCGAACCATGAGGCCTTCGCTAATGAGAAGCTCTGCCTCATCATCAATGATGCAAAGTAAGACACTTGCATGTAATGCCTGGGATATTTGTTTTTTCATTATCTTGGTTCTCAAAATAAGACATGTATCATATCATGTATGACTACACAAACATGTTATCTATTACATCGGTGACGATATGCTTTTTTTTTTTTTTTTGAGAAACTTTGCTTTCATACCAAATTATTTACATGCAGAGCTGAATTAGAGAACAGAGAGGAGAAGTATGATATCATAGTGGGAGATTTAGCTGATCCAGTAGAAGGAGGACCTTGTTATCAACTCTATACAAAATCCTTTTATGAACAAATTCTCAAGCCTAAGCTCAATGATCATGGCATCTTCGTTACTCAGGCATTTGACTCAAAATCTAGTAACATAGTATTTGTTTTCCTTGATTTGAATCTATATTATTAATATTCTTATTTTTTGTATTATTGGAAATATAGGCTGGACCAGCTGGTATCTTCAGTCACAAGGAAGTTTTCTCTTCAATTTACAACACTCTGAGGCATGTCTTTAAATGTGAGTTACTTCTTCTCATTGTTATATAACAAATAATTTCATTGTTTTGTAAAGACTTTACCTGAGATTTTTAAGTATTTCATCATTCAAAGACATATTTTGCATTCAAAGGCTTCATGAGGATATTAACTACACCATGACACAATTAATGTTGACGCAGATATAGTCACATACACTGCTCATGTACCATCATTTGCCGATACTTGGGGTTGGATCATGGTAACTTTCTCATGCTGTAAAATATTTTGCGATATTATTCATGTTTGAAACTATTCGAAAATGTAACATTGATCCCAAAATTTTGACTCGAAGGCATCTGACGAGCCATTTATCTTGAATGCCCAAGAGCTTGATAAAATAATTAATGAGAGAATCAATGAGGAGCTGATCTACCTGAATGGAGAGTCCTTTGTTTCCTCGACCACATTGAACAAGCGTGTGCATCAATCGTAAGCACAAATTATCGATATTTTCTTTGATCATTATTAAATATAGATTATACTGATTGTACTGAAACAAATTTTTTGATGCTAATATCTCAGGTTGGAGAAGGAGACTCATGTGTACACTGAAGAGAATGCGAGATTTATCCATGGCCATGGGATGGCTTGTAATTGACAGATAGAGGCTATAGAAGGTTTTTAGAACAACTTTAGTTGGAGGAAAATTAAAAAGAAAAAAAGAAAAGAAAGGTTAATTCATATAACTGTTATGGAGAAGTTTGAGCTAAATTCTATACTTCTCTTGAACTAAGATGCTAAAATATGTGTTGGTTGAGACTCTTTTCCTATAAATCAATAAAAACAAAGTTGGTGCCTTCCATAGTTATATGGTGTTTTACATTTTCCTTTTATTTATCCCCTGAACCCCCCCCGACCCACCCCCCCCCCCCCGCAAAAAAAAAAAAAAAAAAAAACTTCCTTTTCTTTCCCTTCCTTCTCACCCCGTGAGGCCCAAAATTCTATATTTGTCCATAGGGAAGAAGAACAGAGCGTGCAAAAAATGTTCACAAGTAAAAATGAAAAAAAGCTTATAAAACATTTAATTGCTTTATCATTGTTGCATAATAGTGTTAGTACGTGAGTTTTTAGCTCCGCACATTGGTTGGGTGAAGCGAAGCGCCGGCTCTGGCAGCATGGTGCGAGCTGTCGACCGCACTAGGGCCCCCCGCAAACCGGGGGCCCCAAATTTAAAATATATCAATATATATGTAATATATAGTATTAATATATACCTATATATAATATTATATAATATAATCTATACTTATTAATATTATATATAATATATATATATATATATATATATATATATATATATATTCGCCCCAACAAAGAACCCTGTGACTCTCTTGGAACCCTCACCCTCTCTCTCCCAAAACCTCACCCTCTCCACCTAGGACCAGATCCCTCACTTCTCTCGCAATCTCGTCCCTTCTAGTTCTACGCCGACGACTCCCCCGTCAAAGACCCTCCCTTAGTCCCTCCTCCCTCTCTCGACGCCGACGCCGACGCATGTAATAACTCGAACCCTCAGGCTCAGTTACTCGAGAGATCAACGACCATCACAACGCTCATAAAGTACGAACCTTTTTCGTTTAATTCTTGTCTAATTAGTGCATTTATTTCTCTCAGTCTTTCCTTTCCAATGTCCGGTTATTTTGTTTTCATTTCAATCTCAGCCATTTGTTTCCTCGTTCATCGTTTTCCCTAGCTCGACCGCTTTCAGGTGAAACCCTAGATTATATGTTTTTCGTGGTCACCCCCGTGACCCCCCCTAATTTGTTGATAAATCTTGAAACTTTGGGATCGAGAATTTTGTTTCTGTACGTTTTGATTCTAGTTGCTTGATTTGGAGATTTTTTTTTCTGAAGAGAATTTTAGGAGCATCAATTTTTTTTAGTCCTTGTAGAATATTATAATTACTGTTAATTAATTGCATTATGAAGTTCTGAGAAATAACAGTGTGATGTTTCGATTGGGAATTGAAGCCTCATTCCCTAGATTTGATTGTTAAGGGCCATCTGTTTTCTTGAATCAGTTCATATGGGGCCATAACTTTCTGAAAAATTGTTCAATTCCTTTAGGTTTATTGCAATCTTGTGGTTTCGTATGTTTTTGCCTGATAATTTGCAGGATAGTTATAATTTTTTTAATTTCTCTGGTATAAAAAGAACAATTATTCAATAATTTACATTTCTGCTTAACATTCCATTAACTCATTGGGGCTGTATATTGTTGTACAAGTGTCCTATTGGATTATAGTGTTGACATTAATTTTGTTGATTTATTCTTTTTAGAATGGAACATCAGATTTTGGATTCAATGAGGGTTTAATACGATTATTGGGTAACATTTTGTTGATTTTAATGTCTGATCAGTAACATTTTGTTCCCTGGTATTTTAGGGATCCAAATTGGAATTTGTTGATATTTTGTATATAGAGAATGACCATGTGTTTACTTTTCGCACAGGGCCCCTAAAATCTCAGAACCGGCCCTGGTTGTGAGAACACACTTCACACTCATCTACTTGTATAAATATATATGCACACTCAATATTCAACTCAAGGAAAATTTACCCAAGACTCTCTCTCTCTCTCTCTCTCTCTCTCTCTCTCTCTCTCTCTCTCTCTCTCTCTTACTTCAACAATGTTATCAGAGCTAGGGTTATTATTTCCCTTTCAATAATTTTTTTTAACGCTTCTGCATTCTTTTGCCAAATATTGGCCTTACTGCTTTGCAGTCGTTTAACACTTTTTTGCGTTCCTCTGCCAGATTTTTGGTCTTGCCGCTTTGCGGTCTCTTAACGTATTTGCGTTCTCGTTTAACCTTCGGGTTCCATTTTAATCTTCGGGATTATATTTTAAACCTTCGGGGTTATATTTTAACGTGAAAATTCAGCAGCCACGGGTTACAATCTCTCAAACAACTCTCAAAATAACCCAACCAATGATCTCACACTCCCTCACAATAATCTCCCTCTCAAAGTGCTCAAAAGAACCAATTTTCTTTGATTATCTCTTCTCCTAAACCCTAGAAAGACGTATTTCTATTTATAACAAAACACAATTCAAAACAGGCTGGGAATCAGAAAACGCGTCTGCCATACCCGGGTGTGGCACGCACTACACCCATGACAACGAGTTGTAGCGGAGAGCTTCTGCCACACCTGGGTGAGGCACGCACTACACCCCTGACAACGAATTGTAGCAGATAGCTTCTGCCACATCTGTGTGTGGCCCGTACTACACCCGTGGCTGCTGAATTTTCACGTTTTCCAACATTTTGATCATTTGGACGCCGTTTTCTACAATCGGCACTCAAGTCAACTCTAAAAGGGCTCAGATTTGCCCAAGAAGCAAAAGGGCCAAAATTGCACGGAGAGAAGAAGTAAAATCGTCCAAGAATGAAATAAGCTCAAATTTCCTAATAAAAATAATTCTAGACAAGGAATGACGTAGACCGTCTTTCCTTCATTAGAGGATAATTCTTCATTAGCTGAATACATAACACGACAAGCAATTCTTTCCACATAACATGATTACATAGACACGCTACATGAAATTTCAAGTTCGAATTCTCTGGAATTACTAATGGATAGGTAGATTGATGATAGCAAGAATATTAATTATATTCATCTAATCACATTTCTACCCAGATTCAGCCTGGAAAATCAATAACAAAAAGTGATCAAAATTTTCAGTATGTATTCACTAAACAATTTCTACTCATTTCATATTTTAGTATGCGTGCTATTATATGTAAGTACTCAAAACTTTTTTCTAATGCTTTATTTTAAACATTCAGTTTTTCCTGCCAACTTAATTCCTCATTTTTCAAGACATGAAAAATATCCAACATAAAATAAACTAAGTATTTTCACCTGAGACGTAAATGCGCTATACTAGTTAATTCTTAAACAAGAAAACATGTTGATGATTGTTGTTAATTTTGCTCTAACACATGAAGAAAAGACTTTTGTATCAATATATTAACCTCCAAAATTTTATTTACGTTTTGTACTAAAGTAAATATTTTTATGTGATCACCAGTTGATTTGATCCGTTAGACATGCACTTTCTCTTACTGAATTTTTTCCTATGAAACATAATATTATGTTTTATATAGTTGTTATGGGGGACAAATATTCATTTTGGATAATTTTTAAAACTTAATTAATAAATTTGACCTACTTTGTACTTATTTATCATTATCGATCTAATTTCAGCCACATGATAGAAACTGGGTCGAAATTGATAAATAAGTGCAAAAAACTACACGGAATTATCAATCCTACATAGTTTATTCGTTATAAACTTCAAGGGATTCACAATCCCGTGAAAAGTTCTAAACTACACAGGATTGAGAATCCCGTATAGCTTAATATTCTACTAAACTACACGATATTCTCAATTTCGTATAGTTTTTTACACCTATTTATCAATTTTGACCCAGTTTCTACCATGTAAATAAAACTAGATAGAAAATAATAAATAAGTGTAAAATACATCGAAAATACTAAATAAATTTTAATAATCGTCGAAAATGGAAATTTGTCCTCATGGTTGGCCGTTATACGAAAAATTAGTTCATACACACCTCACATAATTCGCCCATTTCCCCCCTATAAATATCCAGGAGCCTCGTCATCCTCTCCCTCCATTTTCTCTCAAACCCTAATCCCCAAATTTCCACTCCCAAATCCAATCTCTCTCTCAAAACCCTAATTCCCTTAATTCCCCCAAATTACAGACTTTGCTCCCCCAAATGCCCCCGATTCTAACGGTGAACGGGATCTCGAAGGTGAACGCTGGCGATCTGAACCTAAAGCCGGTGGTTCAAGTGATCGAGCTGAAAGCTGTTGGATCGGGCGAGCGGTATCGGATCCTGGTATCGGATGGATCCGAGACGCAGCAAGCGCTGCTGGCAACTCAGCTCAATGAGATCGTGAAGGGTGGGAGGTTGAAGATTGGGTCAGTTGTGCAATTGTTGGAGTACATTTGTAGCACCGTTCAAAGTCGAAGGTGATTCATGAAAACTTTATCGCTACAATGGTTCTATTTGAGTATTTTTCAATGTGTTTGCGTGTAAGCCCTAAAATTCTCTTCATGAATCTTAAGAAAATTGTTATGTATCGATGAAATTGAAAGTTATTCATTCATATCTAGTTTTCTAGATTGCTTAGTAATGTTTTTGAACGCCAAAGTTCCATTTTTGACGTAAAAATTTGATTAATTTTGAGATTACCTCAATTTATGCCGCCACTTCACACAATCACACACTTACCATGTGGAATTGAACTAGAAATATCTCTCTTGAAGTTAATATTATTTAATTTGCTGATATATTGGGAGAAAACTTAGCATGGATAGGATCTTGTATGATATGATATCAATTTATATCAAGACGGAATATTAACATGTTAGAATTTCGCTCATGGGGAAAGTGCAGAAAGGAATGGATTAACTTCTGTGCAACCTTTTCCAGAGCTGTGAAATTTGAACTCCGTTAGATTATGATGGGATGAATTAAACTTGTTTGACGGTGTATGATGGTTAACTTTTTAGAGATTGGAATATCTTAATGAGGTTCTATAAAAGCTCAAGTTGTTCCACCATCATTCTTGTGCAGGATTATTGTGGTTCTGAACTTGGAAGTTATAATTGTGGAGAATGAAATCATTGGGAATCCTAAGCTGCTTTCTGAGGTCCAACCTTCCTTTCTGAATCCATCAACTACGAATAATTCAGCACCCTCAAAACCTGTGTCACTCAATGGGGCATCTGGCTCTCATCCTGCTTCAAGATTCAATGTGAATCCATCAACAAACCAGAGCGGAAACTCCAATAACTTTCAGCCAACAGTCCAACCTTCTTATAAGCCACCTCCCAACTACAGAAATCATGGAGCCATTATGAAGAATGAGGCTCCTCCTCAAGTAATCCCAATAGCCGCTTTAAATCCTTATCAGGGTCGGTGGGCAATTAAAGCAAGAGTGACTTCAAAAGGTGACCTTCGACGTTATAATAATGCCAGGGGAGATGGGAAGGTGTTTTCTTTCGACTTACTTGATTCTGATGGTGGAGAGATTAGGGCAACTTGTTTCAATGTTGTTGTTGATCGCTTCTATGATGTTGTGGAGGCTGGAAAGGTATATTTAATATCCAAGGGAAGTTTAAAACCTGCTCAGAAAAACTTCAACCATCTTAGTCATCAATGGGAAATATTTTTGGAAGCAACATCAATAGTGGAGCTCTGCCCAGATGAAGACAGCTCTATACCAGAACAGCAGTTCAATTTCAGGCTCATTAGCGAGATTGAGAATACGGAGAACAACTCAATTTTAGATGTTATTGGCATTGTCACAGCTGTTAATCCTTCAGCAACTATACTAAGGAAGAATGGCATGGAAACGCAGAGGAGAATTCTTAACTTGAAGGATATCTCTGGTAAAAGTGTTGAGCTAACTCTATGGGGAGATTTTTGCAACAGAGAGGGCCGAGATCTGCAAGAAATGGTTGATTCTGGGTTTTTTCCTGTTGTGGCTGTGAAGGCAGGAAAAGTTAATGACTTCAGCGGGAAATCAGTCGGTACAATTTCTGCTACTCAACTCTTTATCAATCCTAATTTCCCTGAGGCCAGTAAACTGAGAGAGTGGTTTGATGAAGGAGGAAGGAATATTGCTTCACAGTCCATCTCTAAAGATGCAACTCCAGGAATTCCCCGTAATGAGGTCCGTAAAAATGTCTCACAAATTAAGGACGAGGGTCTTGGAAGAGGGGAAAAGCCTGATTGGGTTACCATCAAAGGAACTATTTCATTCATAAAGACAGATAATTTCTGCTATACTGCTTGCCCTTTGATGATTGGTGATAAGCAATGCAGTAAGAAAGTAACAAAAGTTGGTAACGGGAGATGGTGCTGTGATCGATGTGATAAGGAGTTTGAAGAGTGCGACTATAGGTATCTTCTTCAGGCTCAGGTGCAAGATCATACTGGAGTAACTTGGGTGACGGCCTTCCAGGAATCAGGAGAGGAAATTCTCGGTTGCTCAGCGAAGGAGTTGTATAAAATTAAGAATGAAGAGAATGATGACGCAAGGTTTGCAGAAATTATTCGTCTGAGTATCTTTGAGCAATACCTCTTTAAGCTCAAAATCAAAGAAGAGCTCTACGGAGATGAGCAGCGGCTGAAAATTACAGTTATCAAAGCAGAGAAAGTGAATCCAACCATGGAGAGCAGATACCTTCTTGATTTGATTATGAAGATGTGATTAGAGAATTTGATTGAATTTTTTTCACTGGATAGTGCCTTTCGATTTGTTGAAGTATGGCTCTTGAATTGTTAACTCTAGAATTCAATTGCCAACATTGGTGCTATCCTGGTTCAGAGTTACCATTTTTATAAGTCAATCTTCACTTCAATTTTTTTCAGAATATATTGCTTCCCCTTCATGCTATAGTCAAACAAGAACTTACTGCAGCAGACTATCTGTTGGTCAGTAAATCTGCTGAATCTAGTTTCATCGGTTTAAGAGGACAAGGGAAAAATCCCTTTTTACCACGAGATATGTTTCCTTCTAGTTCCATATTAACAGAGCTGCAAGTTTGACCTAAAAAGATTTGAGTCATGAAGATTTGGATTCAACAGATGAGTTCTAGTTGTAAGTATCAACAGTTCTTTATTCTTTTGTATGCTTTAGATATTGTTTTTCGGAAATTCATCCAGTTGTATTCTAAGAGATAGAATGAGACATGGTCGTGGTTAATACTATGTACTAAACCAAATGTTGAGATCAGTTTGCTGGCTTCCTGTGTAGTTCTTCTATTTTCTTTGATAGAATGAACAGTCGAGAAGTTAATTTCCCCATGTTGTATCTAAGTTGAGGAATTATATTTTTGGTGAGCTCACATGTTAATTTGTTAGCTTAATGCATTTCTACCCCAGACGAGACTACTATTCAAGACTTTGCTGCTATTTTTGTTATTGTGTTGCTGCATAAACTGGTTGAATTGGCTCATTTAGGCATCCCTCGAATAATCGAAACTGATGTTAGATTATTGGATTTTAGTACTTCGATTCAACATGATGTATTTTATTTTGTGTATCACGAAAGACTAATGTGAGACAGAACAGGCACCTGATATTTCATATGCATGTACATAAGTTTTATCAATCATATTAGTATATTACTGTATTGGATTACTAGTAAGCATTTGGGGCTCAAATTGCGGCCTGATGTCTGTGTGCATGATTTATATAACCTCTGTTATCCTAGCAAATCCTAGACATGCATTGAGACATTAGACTCCAAACTACTACTAGTTTTCAAACAGCAATTGCGCATGAAATACCAGATAGAGTTGAATAAACAAGGATACAAGGTTACAGTAAAGGTCTGTAAATTACCCAGCAACATCAACACAATAGAAACATACAAACATGAGCATCTACAAGTCCTCAGGTCCTCTTAACGGGATCAAAGTTGGAAACTCCAATAACAGCTCCGAAGATGGCTCCGAGCACAACCCCACCGGAAACGATGCTGAGCAGGAAGTTCTTGAGGGATGCAGACATCCCTGGCTGAGCCGCCTCCGCCACCTCTGGCACCAGGGACGGAGTGAGGATTGCGCGGACCTCGAAGCGACGGTTGGGTCCTGGGGAGGCGCGGAGCGGCGGTTTGCAGTCGCGGTGGTGGAGGAGGCCGGCGAGGGCAGAAACGTCATTGCGATCGCCGATGTCGATGCCATCTTGAGAGAGAGGGTCTTCTAGAGTCTGTGTTTGGAAAGAACTGGCAAAGCTTGGAAGTTCTTGGTATTGAAATAGAGGAGGAAGAGATGAGATAAAAGGTATAAGAAGGTGGAGAGGTGATTGGTTTAGGTTTGCCAGGTCAGCATACGAGTCCTATGTGGAAGCCTGGGATTCAGAGCTTTGGATTTTGGAGGATAAGCTCTGTTAGCTTTCTATGGCTCACAAAGAGTTCCTTTCTGCGGATGTTATCGAGCTAAAATTATGCTGCTTATGAAATTCTAAAATCATGATACTATGATGCACTGATTGTCCTAAGATCATATCATACTCCCATTAAAAGCACGAGTTCGGAAAAATCTTTTGATAAATAAAAATATTTTTGAAATTTAAATATTATTTCATTAAGTAAGAGCAAGTTGATAAATTGATGAATTCTTATTGGATATACATAGTATGAAGATAATGATACAATTTAAATTGAAATGTAAATCTAAATAAAATTATTAAATATCAAATTTGTAAATGTCTACAAAATGAATGACGTATATGTAAAAATCAAATAAATTAATGAGACAAATAATGTCTACTTCAAATGTCAAACCCGGGAACAATGTAGACCTACAAATGTACATAATGTGGATGAGATATTTACAAAATCCACCAAACAAATTAAAGAGACAAAAGCCATTCTCAAAATTATAAAAAAGAAAAATTAAGGAAAATAAAAAATCATACTCCCTTTAAAAGCACGAGTTCGGGAAAATTTTTCGGTAGACAAAAATACCATTGGAATTCAAATATTATTTCATTAAGTAATAGTAAGTTTATGAATTCTTATTAGATATACATAGTATGTAGATAAGGATACAATTTAAATTGAAATGTAAATCTAAATAAAATTATTAAATACCAAATTTATAAATGTCTATAAAATGAAGGACGTACGTATATGTAAAAAATAAATAAATTAATGAGACAAATAATGTCTACCCCAAAGGTCGAACTCGGGAACAACGTAAACCTACAAATGTACATAATATGGATGAGATATTTACAAAATCCACCAAACAAATTAAAGAGACAAACGTCATTCTCAAAATTATAAAAAAAAATAAGAATAATAAAAAACCATACTCTCTTTAAAAGCACGAGTTCAGGAACAGCTTTCCATAGTCAAAATTACACTGTACTATTTTAAATATTTAATTTAAATTATAATATATACTAATCATACTTATATCCTATCCTAAAATCACATGAACTATCTTTAGCTCAAAATTTTAAATAAGATTAATAAAATATATGAAACATCTCCGTACTATCAGTTTATTACATAAAGTATTAAAAAAACAAAAAAGTTTTGAAAATTAGACAAAATACTCTCAAAAGTTTAAAATTACACAAAAGCTAAAAATTTAGAACTTGGCAAAGAAAAGAGTAATTGTGTGATATTTTTTTCATTAAGATATATAAATATAACTTATAATTTAAGGTTTACTATCCCTTTTTAGAATATGAAAATAGTCAAGTTGATATTGGTAAAAAATACTAATAATAACATATTAAAAATATCGAGTTAAATAATAAAAATTTAAAAAATATATGATAGATTAAAAATTAATGTTATTGTATAAATTAAAGTAACTGCATATAATTTTACCAAAATGTTAGAACACCAAAAATACATAAGTATCATTAATTAATAGAAGACTTAATCACAAAAACTGATAAAAGACTATAATATAATAGCTTAACATTAATTGATTATAATTTGTAAATATTGATCTCTACTGGTAATAATATTTATTAGGTAAAATATTATAAAGATTTATGTATGGAGAACTATTAAAAAATTTAGAGATATCCTTCAAAAGAATCAAGCGATTTTTATTTCAAATGAAATTCGGAACGTCCATGAATCATTTTAATTAACACTAACATAAGTTATATTTATAAAAAAAACACTTGACTGAATACCCCCTAAAGAATATATTGAACAACTTTGTGCTCATCAAAGAAACATTCTTCATAGAAGATAAAAGACAAATTATTATACTTTGCGTAAGCAAAAAAATATGAAATCGGCCTTTTTTTTCTTATATAGTATCACGACCCTGCGTGTGACTTTATTTAGGGGTATGACTACTAACGAATGATCAATTCTTAAAGACATTATCAAAAATAATGATATAATAGCACTATTAGAATTCAAGATCTCTAAGTTTGAAGGTAGTATATTTCATTAGTAAAATTCTTATTAAATGCCACTAAATATAAAATTCACCTTATATATGTCTCAAATTTATAGAGGAGATACGCATATCATCGTAAATTATGTTAATAATATATATCAATCTAAAGATACAACTTACTGGAGAAATAAGAGAATGGTAAGTAAACCAACAAGCAAATATCCATATAACACCGTAAAGTAAAAAAATATTACTTTTTAAAGCCAATATGTAGCGTTCTTTTAGAGTAAGCTGCCAAGACAAAAGCATCTCCATTAAGGCTCTTTATAAATGCAACAGAAATTCAAATTACTAATATATACAACCATTATAACATTTGAAAGAGATATGATCTTAGAAAACCTATTCTAAATTCATACAATTAAACCTAAGAATGATTTATCAATATACAGACACACTATCACACCATTAAGGCAATAATAACTATCATTTATAATAGAGTTGAGCAGTAGTTCTATGTTTGCAAAGGCTACAATAAGAAAGTGGATAAATATATTAATAATAAGTGTCCAGATGATAAATGTTGTAGAATCACCAATGATTTAGTACCAATGTTAAGTGATATCCCTTCTTCATGAAATAAATATATCAAAATTAAATATTAATATTATAATCTAAAACAAATTGACAATGAAAAATTTAATGTATTTAGTTCAGATCCTCATGGAAAATGACACAGACAGAGCAAATGTAATATTATGACACAACAGAAATTTTTATTGGATGCATAACAAAAGAATTCATTGCAGAGAAAAAAGATGTAGCTCCTAACCTTATTTAAGTAATAAATTAAAAGCATAAAAAATTTCATATATATGAAATTAACATTTATTCTTATTGAAATAGGAAAAAATCAAAGTCCGTATTGTCAGAAGTTTGTGTTGAATATAAGAAATATATTCAACTTCTTTGTGAATTTAGACGAGAAAGCAAAAGATGTATGAGCCCAAGGAAAGATAACATGCTCCAGTTTCATATCAAAATCGATGTAGACGATGAAGACACTACTACTCTAGAATTGGTAGGAAAAAGGTAAAGATGAAGAAGGATTAATCTCGACTCAATAAAAAATAAATTAGAAGTAATAAAAGATAATGTTTTGTGAATTGTTATAGAATAGTTTTATTTTTTAGTAAAATTAGGAATCTTTAGAAGGGATTTTCATAAACTATTTTAGTACTTTCATATGCAAATGTGGATGTTTTTATCATATAAAAGTGTACTAGACTTAGCATTAATCTTCAGTTTATGATTTTTTCATTAACCATTTTTTGTCATTTTAGCCCACTTTAAATCAATCATCTTGGCTCGTTAGCTTTATTATTTATTTTCTTTTTATAATGTTATTTTTTAAGTGTTTTCACTTTCATAACACTATACTTCCTCAGGTCAAGCTCGGTTTTATGCCGATCCAAATAAAATAAAAATTTAAATTGGTTTTAGATTATATTTATCTCATGACAATTCAACCATCAATATAAAAATTTAAACTGGATATAGCCTATTCAAACAAACATCAAATAAATAAATAATCAAAGTGTAATCGAGGAACAAATTTTAAAAGAAAATAAACTAAAAATACTTAATCAAAATGAGCAAAAATTATTATCAAAGAGTAACCGGGGAATAAATTTTAGTAAGAAAATAAGCCAAAAATATTTAATCACAGTATTTAACTACGTGCATTGCACGTGCATAAAATCTAGTATGTTAAAAAGATACAAGTACCAGAATTAGCCTGCAACTTGTGGACATGGGGCTGAGCTACAAGTAGATCTACTTGTAGAAAATCACGTATTCTAGACAGAATATTCTAGACGAATTTTTTTTCGTCTAGAATGTATTAAACTAGACGAAAATTTTCCATCTAGAATAAAACATTCTAGACGAAAAATTTCATCTAGAATATTATCCTAGACAATTCTTTTATTTTTTATTTTTTTAAAAATAACCAGGTATTCTAGACGAAAATTTTCGTCTATGATAATCATTATAAACGGTAATTTTCGTCTAGAATAACTGGTCATTTAAAAAAAATTAACCGGTCAAAAAATTAACCGTCCTCATCCCCCCCCAAATGGAAAATTTTATCCCAAAATCAGCCTCATCCCCCCAAATCCTCAACCTCACACCCCGGCCCCTCCCTCCCCCTCTACTCCCTCTCCCTCCAAGGCCAGGTCGCCGACAATCTCCCGCCACCGGAGGCGACCGCGAAGCTCCTCCTCTCGACCTCGATCTCAAAGCTCCGCCTCTACGGCGCCGACCCCGCCATCCTAATATCCCTCGCCGGTACCAACATCTCCGTCGTCATCGGCGCCGCCAACGGAGACATCCCCAACCGTCGGCAACGAGGTTTTAGAATCCAACGACCCCTCCCTCTCCTCCCAGCTCCTTCCCGCCATGCAAAATCTCCAAAATGCCCTCCTCGTTTCGCTTCCGGTGAAAGTCTCCACCGTCAACACGATGGCGGTGCTCGCGGCATCGGAGCCGCCCTCCGCCGGCGCTTTCCACGCAGAGCTGCTCCCTTCTCTTCAAGGAATCTTCGGATTCCTTCAGAAAAACCGGGTCGCCGTTCATGATAAACCTGTACCCGTACTTCGCCTACCGCGACGATCCGAGGCCCGTACCCGTAATGGCCGTACAAAGGCGACCCCAATGAGAACGGGGCGAGCGTCAACAACGCGAAGGTGTTCAATGGGAACTTGGTGCAGCATTTGCGGTCGATGGTGGGGACGCTGCTGATGCCGGGAAATCGGTGGATACTTACATTTTCGCGCTTTACGACGAGGATTTGAAGCCGGGGCCGGTGTCGGAGAGGTCGTTTGGGTTGTTTCATCCTGATCTTTCCATGACTTCCGATGTTGGGCTTAAGAAATCTAGTAGCTCAGGCTCGAGTCAGGTACTTAAATTAAAGCTTTGGACGTATTTTTAAAGGATTATTATTATTATTATTATGAAATTTTATATGGGAAACTATTTTTTTGATTTTGTGAAGAAGCTCATGTGAACTTTCGAATCAGGGGCTTGGATTTGTGCCTGCGGCTTGGTTGGTGACATGATTCTCGTCAATTTAAGTGTATGACATTGTCTTCTTCTGTAGAATTGTAAGTTTTGTGTTATTATAGTTTTAGGGGCAAATATGTGCATAATGTAGCTAGGGGGTCAATTAGAATTGAAAGACAATTTCTTTTCTTCAGTAGGGTTGTTTACCTATTAACTTGGGCTTAAACAAAAATCCTACATGAAGACTTACTCTTTCGTCTCTTTGAGATGCTTCTCTTCTTCTTTCTTTTAATGTAAGCTACGAATTTTTGTTTTCTGGTGAAGGAAGAAAAAGAATGAGAATTTGAATACAATCGCTCACCCAAAGGAATTAGATGAGGAGTATCGTAATAAGAGCTCAGATGTCTAAAGAATTCAAAGTAGTCAGCTAAGTGACTAACAATTAAATTTGAATATAATCGGCACATAAGAATTTGGTGTTTTCTTGTTCTTTGACCTTTATTTGGTTTTGCTATTCGCAGTGGAATAAGTGGAGAAATGCTACGTCAATCAGAGTTTGTTTCAGTTTCCTCCTACACACACTAGTGGAAAAATGACAGCAAAGAGTTTGTTTCAGATTCCGTCCAGGATACTATTTTGTTGTTCAATATTGTGTACATGCACCCAACGTAGATTCTGCAAAAAAAAAAAAAAAAAAACTACTGTAGCATAGTATCCTGGA